ATCATCACAACTCATCAAACTTTAATACACTTCTGCAAAAATATCTAACTACTTACTCAGATAACTCCTTTCAAACATCTATGCCTACTCTGGCTCAACTTAAAAATAAACTAAACCTTACTAAAATTGCACTTAACTACCATCAACAACATGCTATCTACAAAGAAATTAAACAAAAAATTGAAGATCGCAATAAATTATTTTTAGAAACACCTAAATTCTTTTACAAAAAAATTCTTAAAAAATACAACAATATCCGAATAGACAGAGTACTTACAGATAACTCTCTACTCACTGAACAGGATAAAATTTTATCCTCAATTTACTCTCACTTCACCAACTACTTTTAATCTAAACCACTTGAAGCTATACCACCTTCAAGTGAATTCTTTTTCTTTTACAAACCATATCCTAAACTTGAATACTACTATAAAGATCTTACTCAAGAAATATCTAAACAAGAATGGCAAGAAATAATTTCTAGCTTTCCTAATCAAAAAGCTGCAGGTCTTTCTGAAATCTGCTATAAACATATTAAATATGCTAGCTCTAAAGCCCAAAACTTTTTCAAGCAAATGCTTACAACTTCAAAAAATTCTTACTAAATAGAAATCTTCTAACATTTTTCTAATTTCAAAAAAATCAAGCTGGAATTATACTCTCAACCAAGTCCGCCCAATTTCTATAATTACTAAAGATTAGACAATATTATTACTTCAAACAATCTTCTTTCTAACCTAAACTTTGCGATTACAAAAAACTCTTCTATACATATTCCTATTCAAATTCTTAACAACACTATCGAACATTACAAATTCTGTAACAAAGAAGCCTGGATTCTTTTCTAAGATATGTCTAAAGCTTTTGATAAAATTAATATCTCAAGACTTCAAGACACTTGCAAAAGAATAGGTATCCCAGTTGTAGGCATTAACTTTATTACAGAACTTCGCCAGAGTTATTACTAGTCATAGACTTACCTCACCTATCCAACTTAATTTTGGTATTGAACAAGGTGAAACTTACTCACCTTTATTCTGAAAAATCTATTATGATTCTATTCTTTCTTTTATAAACCAAAAATATCAAAACCACCTTTTTAAAATTTCCTCTCAATCTTCTCTTGAGATTATCACAAACATGACTTCATCATCAATTATCATCTCTCCACTGGCTTATATGGATGACACAACTTGGCACTGTAAAAATCTGGCCATAATGCAGAACATTTTGAATGATATATCTACTCTCTACAAACTTAATAACATTAAAATTAATACTACAAAATCAGCCTACTTCATATTAAATTAAAATCTTTATCTCCACCACCTATACTCTATACAAATAACCAAGCTATTACTCCTAGAAAACCTTATGATATTATATGCTATTTTGGAGTTTTTTATGATGATAATGGCTCTTCCAAATCTATACTTGACACAATCTTTAACAAAATTGAAAATTTTCTTAATCTTATAAAATACAAAAAAGTAACACCCTCTCAAATATCAGCATTATTTAATTTAATTCTACAACCCTCTCTTGAATACCTGCTACAAATCACTCCAATTTACAAAAATATACAAACTAAATTATCTCAATTATTTACTATTCAATCAAAAAAAATGCTATGATTCACGTCACTTATAGTCATCAAACAATGCAGATCAGTCCGAAATTTGGATGTCGATCTTTGATCACATGCCATAATTTCTATTGGCCAATATTAATAAGCCTAAATCAGTAAAATGAAACTACTATAAATATAAGATCGATCGATTTCGCAATAGTTTTTACTATAGTTATATAAATCTTTATTGAATACAAAAAAAATTAGCATTTATATATTTAAAGCTAAATAACTTTTTTTTTATAATTGCAAGTTTAACTAATACAGTAAATAAATTTTATTCTAATTTATCCAACTCCTCATAAATACTATCTGAGATTCTTCTGTGAGTTTTATATTTTTTTACTGCATATTCTACTAGTTTTTTGCTAAGACCATTCCTATAAAGATCCATATAATGCCAACATTTTCTTAAAAATTTTCTAATGGTTATTAAAGGTACTGATTCAAAACTTTCAGGAATGGTTTTTTGTAATCCCAACTATGAATAATCACAATTTTCATGTGCATGCCTTTTAGCAGCTCCCCAATATCTCTCGATAAAGTTTAACTTGCAATGGAATTTAGGAAAAAAAATGCATTTATGTTCTGCATTTTCAATTAATTCTTGAATTGCATTTTTTTGGACAAGAAAATCAGGTTTCAGAGACAATACTCTATGTGTACAACAAGAAATTCTTGAAGCATCTTCGATTTTTTGTTTACAATTTTTACAATCTAAAACTAATCCTTCAGATGGCCATTTTCTACGTTTAATTAGCACTTGTTTGATCTCTTTAGGCTTTTCTTGAAGTTCCTTATCTAATTTTTCATATAATTCACATATAGCTTTACATCTAAATCAGTTTCTGGAAACACCATCGATTGTAGTTGACTATTTTCTCCAAAATAAGTATTATGTATAATCGGTTACTTTCCGCCTAGGCCTAGATTCATCCTACTTGCAATTAAAGCATCTTCACTAAATGCACCATAATTAAAGCTATTGTCAAAAGCAAATACAGCTACACAATCAGGATACAAAGTCTCAAAAATAGGAATCGCCTTATATTGAATTTGTTCGAGAAAGTGTTTTGTTGTCCAGTAACCTTCTTGATTTATGCCAGGTATCAAGTAATATCGTGCTTCTTTAGGTACGTCAGGGTATTTTCTATATCAGATTGTTGTAAACATAAACATCCATCAACTTCAGTAAGAAATTCACTAACCATGATCGACCTCCTGTTTCCTTTTTTTCGTAGTGTCATTTTCCTATCTTTGGTCCATACACCACGTTTACCGTCGTTTGAATAAAATATACATTCATTATATACTACAGGAATTCATTCTTTTTCTCTTTGGGGTAAACTAGGATGTATCCTTTCCATAGACTCACCTTCATACTTTGACATATACTTTTCATGATCGAATATTTTTTTCAAAAATTCTCTTTTATATTTCAAGACATCATCCCTCTCATGACCATCATAATATATATTTTGATGATATCATCGGAATGAATCACCAAGAACCTTTAGTATCTCTCTGTGGTTTTTAAGCTAACAGTTTTTTTTTTTAAAATTTCAATATTAGGAAACAATACTTCTTCGACAAATTTTTTAAATATGGCGGGAGTAATCTTAAAATTTTGGCTTCTAATCCAAATGTGACATTTGTCTCTAATATCTTCATTGTCAATTATTCTAATTGTTTTTTGGTGTTTTCTATGTCTAGATGGTGAGAGCTTATTATTAAGTAACCAATACTCCATAAGATACCGAATTTTTCGAGCTTTCCACACATTACCATCAATAAAAACCTTACGAGCAACATCCAAGCTAGCTTTGATTTTTCTGTGTCTATTATTTTTACTTAATAAACTAAGGTATTCAAAAATAGCTCTTTTATAATTGTATTCTTTAATTATTAATTTACTATGGTTTTGTTCTAACTGCTTTTTTAAATCATTCGCCTTTTTATTTATCGTAAGGGCATATAAGTCAGGTTCACTATCTGAGTCATCAGAGATTTCTTCTAAGTTGTTTGGGTCTGATGGTTGTGGACTTATAAAAAAGCTAGTAATTTTTTTGTTCCAACTGCTGCTTTAGTAAAAACACTGTTTGGCCCATACTTATCATAATAAGTTGACTTTGGTGTCTTGCCTTTTATATATGGGCCCCATTTTGTTTTTTCGAATTGACTGTCATTTTTCTATACCAAGTTAAGTTCTTTAATTTCACTTTCCATATTGTCTCATTCACTATCTTCCTCATCTCGCCATTCTTCATCAATAATATCTAACTCATTATTATATTTATTCCAGCCACCATTTTCCTCACCTCTGTTTTTATTGCTAACGTCTAGTTCACCTTCAGTGTCGCTATTATATAGCTTATTAAATTCATTTAACATGTCTTCTTGATCAGTTAAACCCATTTTTTTGGCACTATACTGTCCTTCAACATTTCTAACCTAATTTTTAGCTTTTCTTTTTCCTTTAGAAAGAAGCAGCATTTTTTAATTTTTATAGAAAGTTAGAAATATACAACTTGTCACTATGTCTAATCTTGAAACTAATTCAAAGAAGATTTTATTTATGGTTTATATGAGGTATTTTTTTTAATTTTTATTTTTTTAATAATTAATGTGACAAGATATGTTTTATGTATTAATTTAAATATATGTTCCTTTATAAACATTTCAGACATATATTTTTTTATTCAAGAGAACGTATTCTATTATTTTGATCAAGGCTTTGGCTAAAATAATAATGAATATTATGAATCTGATTTTTTTCTAACTATTTTTTTATAAGTTTGGTTTCAAATCTAAAACTCATATTTCATCTTTACGCGCTTTAATACAGCCTTATTTAAGACCCACCCATTTCGCCATTAGCTTTATTTAAGGTTTACTATTTTTAGTTTTATCAACTTGACTCTTAACTACCTTAATTACTTATCTCTTTAGGTTAGTATCTTTGGGTTGCTATATTCTAATCACGAGATTGTGTAGGAGTAAAGCTTTGATCATTAAATGCATATACACTACAATAAGTGTCTTAATAAATATTTTGTTTGAATTTACCATTTTTATTTCATTTATTATTTTTTTATGTTTTATATCAATCGAGATACTAGAGTGTATCTACTATGATATAACCCAAACTGTTTCAGTACTAATTGACACCTACAGCACTTTTTTGTTTGGATTTGGAATATTGCCATATAAAACTTTTTCATCAAATCTAATATTACTCTTATATAGCAGTGTTATATTATTTCGTATGAATTAATTATATAATGTTTGCTCTGCATGTGTTATCTTATGTCTCATTTGAGGTCATACAGTACGCAAAATATAGTCAGCTCTTCCAAATCTGGACCTAAATAATCTGAACTCTTAATAAACTCTGTAAAACTGAACATAAACTTCAGAATTTGATTATAAAGTTCACAGTAACTCTTTGAAAATTGAACTTTTTGTTATTTTTACATACAAGAACAGACTGTTCAGAAGAGAGAGTTGACTGTATATGCTTAATTCTATTGTACAAGAAGCATATTTTTCATTATATTCAAGATTTAATTACTTTTAAATATTATTTAATTTTGAAGATTGTACTATATATATTATTTTGTGCGTTTTGCACTTATTGGATCACGTGATATTTCTATTCACTGATTGGACAAAATAAAATGATCGACATCTAAAATTTGAAGATTACTAATAAAAATATCAAACACTTAGCTTTAATACTTCATGAAAATAAAGAGCTACCAAAAAAAATAAACCGTAAATCTGATAGAGAAACATTAAATTTATTATTTTTACAATTTAATTTTTTAATTTTATTTTAATAGAAAGACTAGTTATTGTTTGAAGTTGAATAAATTTGTTTGATGACTATAGGTGACGTAAACCATATCACTAGCAAAAAATACTAATAATGTTACTCTTACTAATCCACTTTCTTTTAATCTGCTAACTCTAAATAATATT